AGTGGAACCCGAAAGGGAAGCGGCGAGCTGGTCATCAGTATGTGGGTGACTTGGAGGAGGTCATGTGAAGAGGAGATGAAAGCATGTGGGCAGACGTGGAGCCATGTGGAAACTCTAGCAGAGAGCCGAACGCAATGGGGACGTGCGTGGTGGAAGCCCTATCTAGGAATTAAAGGATATAATAATAAATAGAAACGCAGGGATAGAACGAATTACAGGTATGAACAAAATGAGCATGGAAACAAAGTGAAGTCAAAATTTTTTACTTGAAATGCTATTTAGGAGGTGTGGATACGGATTACAAGAGGCATAGAAAGAAAAAATTACACTGGATTAGAATATAATTGTAAAATTGTTATTCTAAACGCAGTACAAATGTGATCAGGAGGAGCATAGAAAAAAACTTAAAATAACTGTTTTTATAACTGAAAAAAATTAGGTGAATCTAATGAAGACTGAGGGACTAAGGATCAGACACACAGCCAACGAAAAAATGCTCAAAAAGAAAAGAGAGAACGAAAAAAGAAGAAAAAAACGGCAGCAAAGGGAACATACCAAACTATGGCCATGGTAGTTGTAGAGGTTGGACTAATTTCTTCTGAACACACAGCTCCGGCTTCTCGATGCATATTGCAGTACAAAGAAGTCGGAAACATACTGCTTTTGATAGGTTTCTGTTGACTTCGTAAATGACACTTTGAATGAATCAGTTGAGATGTTGTGGGAGGTGTTGATCAGATGTTCAATAATGACACTTCAGATTGAACCGGTGCCTCCTCTTTGCAGCCATGCTGGGTAGTGTTCTATAACATATTTTGAAAGGACACGCATACAACGACCTATGTACCTACCTCCGCACGAGCAGGTGAACTGGTATATGCACATTGAATTGGTCATATGTGAGAGTTTGTTCTTCGTATTGTTTCGAATTATTGGACGGCTAGAGAATGTCACTCTTAGTGTTGCTGCATGGAAGGTCTTCTCTAAAGAGCTGGATATTCTCTTCTTCAGGATATCAGCTGCCAAATCTCCCTTGAAATTCAGATTTAGATACAGCGTTTTCTTTAGCGCTGAATCGCATTCTTCTCTTTTTGGTTTAGGTTTCATGTTCTTTTCGACAAAAGGTATAGGGTAGCTATTTTGAGCCAGGATATTTTTGAGGAATAGGAGCTCCTCTTCCATGCAATCACTGCTGCAGATTTTTCTAGTGTGATGAGTTGGTGCGCTGATGAGAGCTTGTTTTCGACTCAAAGGTATCCAAAGTTATCAACAGACCAGAACAGCTCAATGTTTCTCAAGTTTCCCGAAGCAATCTCCATCAAGTGCCTGAAATCCGATTCAGGTGTTAGCGTCAGTCTTTTCTTGTCCTGTCTGGCAACTGGATGTCTTTTCTCTCTCTTCCACTTGATTACGTAATCTTTGCCTTTGCCCCCAGTGACCCCTTTGATATTATGTAAATTTTGTTTGTTTCTTGGTTCTATAATTTGAGTTGAACTCAGTACACTGTTACCTAATTTATTAGTCACTCATCATCTTACTCACCTCTCGTCTTTATTACGTAACTCCTTTACCATTGTATGCATACATTTATTTTGTTTAAAATTGAACTGCCTATGTAAAAACCATATAATTGTAATTCATTAGAGAGGATTTGTAACCCAGCTGGATGATTTTCATGTGTTTGTGTTCTCTGATCTAGCTGGATGGATGGTTTATTTGCAAAGCTTTCATCGCTCAATTTGCTAGGCAACATCTTTAGCGCATACACTTCAATTCGTTGAAGTGAGCTTTCAGATTTCTCCGTGATTTTGTCAGCCACCTCTCCTGATGGGTGACCTTGAACGTGAATGGTTTTATTCGTGTGTTTTCACACACTCTAGGCTACTTGTATTGGTATTGGTGTTGATTGTTTCCTTAACTCAAACCTTGACCCTTTGAGTGTGAGATTTTCTTCTTATCGATCGATAAATTTTGCCTATTTCGACCTGTCTATTGATTGGAATAACAGGTTTCGGAAGATTTCAGCGCCGAAGATGTTCCCTAGTACGCAGAGAAATGAAAGCTTCGCAAAAAAATCATCCATCCAGCTAGATCAGAGAACACAACCACATCAAAATAAGCATCATTTTTTGAGCACCGTTCACTTAGTCCGAAACGTATTTTCATCTGGCGAGCAAAGTTTGCAAGTATGTTAAAACTCCTCTGTACATAAACTTAATAGTTTATTTAGGCTGTAAGCAACTGATGAGAAGCCAACGAAATAAACAAATGACGGCACCATCTTATTCTGCAAAACTATTGTTCTCACTTTATTCAAATTAAAAAAGTATACTTAGATGATTTCGAGTTTGTAGAGTTTTTGAATCACCTCAGTACAGGCTGAGTTATGTAGTGACATCACCTAAAGAACCACCAACAATCAAAAGTCAATGAACATCTGCTTCGCCTCAGTTTAGGATACTTCATCAGTGTGCAGCCACTACCTCACCAGGGTTCGAAACTAAGACCTTGATTGTTTAGCTACTGGGATGGAATTCAATGATTAGAGAATTCTATATTCTTTCTATCAGTGACACAGCAGTGCCACCAGCTGACACTACTGATGGGCGTACTGTTCACATCCTACTTGGAGATCGCCACCAACCATGACATCTCACTAGGACTTCACAATGTTGATCCTGTAGTCATTAATAAACAGGAGACTAATATTCAGATATTCTGGGTCTATAGAAGTAGGAAATAATTTCATGCGATATTTAAGGAAACGTGTACAACCGTTCTAGGAAGAAGGAAGAGACAAGACAAGGAATGGCTCTTAACGGACACCTACCTGGAAGCTAATATAAGCGAGGAGAGGAGGATAGTGAAAGATAAGATGACTCAATGCAAAGATGGGTAACGGAGGAAGAAGGTGACTTCAATGTACACTACACTGAAGTGAAGAAGAGTGCTAGAAAAGACAGAAGACAATCCTATGACACATTGGCAAGTGAAGCGGAACAGATCGCAAGCAGAAGAGACATTAGGATGCTATATCGGAAAACCAAGTCTGTATCTAGGAAGAGATCAAGCCAGATGACGAAATCAATGAAAGACGCTCAAAAGGACCTGATAACCATTAAAGGGAAAAAATAAAACAATGGACTGATCACTTTAAAGTACTCTTGAATAGACCACTACTGTCAACTCACCCAGAAATACACCATTATTAACAACACATACGGAAATGCCAGTGGACTCCACTACTGCAACGAAAGAAGAAATCGTGAATGCGATCAAGCTACTGAAGTCCGTCAAGGCAGGAGGAGCAGACGGTATCCCTTCCGGAGCACTGAAGATGGCCCAGAGATTATGGTGGATGTCCTCACTCCATTACTGCAAAACGTTTGGAAAGAGGGAAAGGTGCCTACGTCGTCAAACTGTCAAAGAAGGGCGACTTAGGCCTGTGCAAGAACTGGTGTGGAATCATGATCCTGTCGACGCCAAGTAAAATACTAAGTCGCATCATCCTGTAGAGAACAAAGGATGCAATGGATACTGAACTCCGCGCGATCGAACAAGCTGTATTCAGGAGTGGCACATCGTGTGCTGATCAAATCGCAACTCTACGCATCGTTATCACAGAACAAAGCACAGAATAGAAGTCCAACCTCTACTTTAACTTCATCGACTTCGAGAAGTCCTTCAGCAGCGTAGATCGAGATGTAATTTGGAAACTGTCTCAACACTACGGCTTACCTCAAGTCTTTTTCAACCTCATTCAGCAGCTATCTATATGACACTGGCACGTGTCAAGGGATCCACAACGGAAAACTCAGCAAGGCATTCGAACTGCATACAGGAGTAAGACAAGGCTGGCTGCCTATTATCACCCACGATGATATTCCTAATTGTGGTGAATCGGATTATGCTCCAGATTGTTGGGGGCTAGAAGTCAGGAATACGCTGGAAGACTGATTAGAAGACTCTGGAAGATCTGGGTTTCGCAGATGATATATGTCTAGTGTCACACAAACTCGAAGACTTTCAGGCAGGCGAAAACCATCTAACTGGTTGAATAGGCACTGCTGCGAGGGCAGTACTGCAGGTGAACACAGAGAAGACCGACGTGATGAAGATAACCAATCAACAGCAACAGTGACGACCAGCACCAATCACAATCAACGGCAGAGATTTAACAGAGGTTGCCTCCTTCACGTATCTGGTTGGGAAGCATAGTTTTAAATACAGGCCATCGGAACCGACAAAGATGCCAAAGTCAGAATCGGAACGACAAGACACGCCTTCTTCAACCTGAAATCAGTTTGGAAATCTTCAGCTCCCAGTATAAACAACAAGATTCAGGTTTTCAACACGAATGTGAAGTCAGTCAGTTCTTCTTGTACTGAGTGTCACGAAAAGAAATTCCAACAGGCTGTAGAATTTCACAAAAAGTTGTCTTCGCTGGCTCCATACTGAGGATCAAATTGCCAGAAAGAGTAAGCAACAAGAAACTTTGGGAACAAACCAACAAGCGAGAGCTGATCGCTCAACAAATATGCAGGAGAAAGTGGAGATGGATCGGGCATTCATTGAAGAGCCCGCCGAATGACATCGCACACCAGGCTATCACTCGAGTGAAATTTCAATAGGAAGCGACGAGTAGATCATCACTGTTAAGGTGACATGTAGGGGATCGTGTGAGTAAGAGATGACAGGGAGTTTGGTCAATCATGGATCCATCTGAAGAGGACGGCAGAAAACAGAACGAAGTGGAGATCTGCTGTTGAAGCCCTATGTTCCACCAGGAACTTAAAGGAATAATAATTAAAAAAAATATAATTCACGTATGTGCTCCATGACTTCCTATGGTTATCTAACCGATGTCGGACCACAACGATGTCTACACAAAGTTGAAGATTCATTGTGGAATATGAGAGAGTATTTTGACAGTATCAATAAGATTACATATATATATATATATATAAGAGAAGGGGATCCACAATTAGAAGTAAACTCACTTATGTACAAGTACTAAAGAACGCCGCTCATAATTCATTGGTTGAAAAGTTTCCAATAATATTTCACCTTGTTTTATACACGATCGATAATGTTGTTTTAAGAGATTATGAATATGTAGGCTGGGACAAATTGATACAGGACCCCATATTTTATAACCAATACTTAATTGATTTTCACTAGGCAATGGTAACTGACAGACTAATTGAGGACCAAGTTGAACTTTCAAGCGTATTGAATGTCTGATAGGTGGATTGATAAGTAGAGTAAGTGCAACGTGTGCGCTTGAAGAGTTTTTACGCGGGACAGCTAAAATAAAGACAAACAAAATCAGTAAGATAAATGGTGGAGGTGAGGAATAATAGTTATACGATACTTCATAAAGTAATCTATCAATTAGGTTCCTTTAAGTTCCGAGTGGGACAACAGTACATCTTCATTTTGTCCTGCTGCCTGTAGTCTCTTTTGACCGGTTTCACGAATGTTTATAAGCTCCCATTGCCTTCATCACATGATGTCCTCTGTGTCACTTTGGAACGCCAAACTGATCACTTTCTGTCCGGATTCCACTCAAGGTCCTGGCGACCGATATCAGTAAACAATTTTTCCAGCGTATGTCTTATCAGTCTCCGTTTTCTTCAGTGCATTTGTCGGGAATTGGGTTCTTAATTGGTTCGCTCCCAAAGTTTCTTGTCATCCGATCTTCACTTTAGAGTTAAGGCCGCTGCTGATAAAGGTCTGTAGCGATCTGACATGCCAAGTCTCTGAATTATGACCTATTTTTTCTTATTCCTTTACGTTCCCAGTGGAACATAACGAGGGCTTCAAGCTAGAGGCTTGAAGTTTCTGTAGCCGCGGTGTTCGTTTTAACGGGATAGGGTAGGCTAGCCTCATGCTTAACCTTCCTTCTTTACTAGTCTTATTACCGGCCTAACGAGGTAAGAGAGCGTGTCGAAGTCCGGGAGTCGAACTTCGAACCATGTGTGGCGTGGATGACGAGCATTCTACCGCTTTGCCACTGACGCCACTATGACGTATGGTTATTCATAAAAAAACTTTTTTAGTGATAGAATGTTCATCTCTCTCTTCAAAGATAAAAGCCAGTCTTCGGATTGGTTCATAAAATGAACAAACGTCTTTACCCACCTGTAGTATTACTGTAGATATGATCTAAGATACATAGTGATAATGAAACTTCTGTATATATCCAGTTTCGGAAGGGCACGGTACTAATTATTAGCGGAGGCCAGCTTATCACTATGATATTTCAGAGATCATAAGCTTAGTATTTAATCCTTATGCATCATGTGGAGTATTGAACCTCAAAGGCACATCTTAATTCCGTCACTCCCAGCTAGATCCATTGCTAACTATTAAGTTTCATTTCCTACTCCTATTACTGTCTTCATGTCAAACCTGAACGCCTAAATTGTTGTTTCATATTCAGATTTCACTCGAGTGTCTGGTCTGTGATGTCACTTGAGCCCCTCCTTGGAGTATGTCGAGTCCGTCTTCGTTCACTTCTGCACATTGATTGGGCAGTCAGTTCTTAGTTGGTTCACTGACTAGCACAATTCCTTGTTGACTATCCCTTTCGATCAGCCATCTGATCTTAAGTGCTGAGGACAGGAGCAGTCGTTCTGTAACTTGTTGGAAACGCTTTTGTTGACGTGCATGCCAAGTCTGTGAATTATACAGAGGCGCTAGCTTGATATTAATGTTATAAATAAACTCGGATGTTATTTATTGTGCCAATGAATGTCTGTCCATCTTTCACGATTCTGGCTACACTTAACATCGTGTTTATTAACACTGGGCCGTCAGTAAAGCGTACATCCGAAATTGAAGAGAAGCGGTAATTTTGACAGTATTCACGCAAGATTGAAAAGGGATTGATTTCAATAACCAGTTAAACAGTAGAATGTTTACAGTCCATACAGGTGAACCTGGGTCCGACTCTCAGTCAACGCATTCCTAAAGCTTGCTTAACTTGAGGTGTGAGATTGCCAACCCCACTGTGTAAAAATCAACACGATTACTGCTACGAAAACGTGAAAGCTTGAAACTTGAAATACAGCGGTCTACAGGGAACAAACTAACTGAAGGCAGTGATGAAGAAGTCCCGTTTCATCCTTATTTCATATTCATCGGCTTTCTTCAGGAATATAAGCTAAAAAATATGCCACACTGTAGAATTAGATTATTTTATTGATTCGCCTATTTCAGGAATACGCATAACTAGTATACCGATTTCGGAAAGTTAATAAGATTTCTCTGATATCCTGATAGATAAATGGCTAAACATCATCCATAGACGTGTTACCATATAAGGCAGGTTTAAGAATGTTAGTGCCCACCCATGTAACCACTATGTGTCGAATTTCAAACTTCAAGTTATTGGACCAATCTCTTCGACTAATCAGCTGCTTAGACGTTGGTGGTTCAGCAACTGAATGCTCACCAACCACCCGTGTCATCTGACGTTGAAACACATGCCTAAACCTCTCCTGGCTGGTAGTAGTTAGTCTGGTAAAGAGGGAAGACTGTGCGTGAGGCTAGTAGCCCATTTAGAAAGAGAATATTTAGTAAGACATATCCACAGGTCCGTAACTGAGTTTCAACCCCTGTGATTTGACGCTCAGTCGACTAGCTTCGTAACTGTAAAGTCTTAGTTTCAATGGGACAATAGGTTTCCGATGCTGAAGAGGGCCACACAAAGACACAAAAAACAGCTGTCCAGTGCTCCCTAATATTTCCAACCTTTCTCTATCTGATGCCGTTTCGTGAATAAACCTGCGCTGAATCTGTTTGAGTAGAAGAAAAAGTCAGCTCAGCATAAATCACTCCGTAGAGTCCGTTTAGAAAATCAAAACTTACTGTCTTTCGGGAAATTATTTGCTCTGATTGTATTGATATTTGCTTCGATGTATTGGTCCTCAGAATTATCCTATAAAACAGATGATAAATTTATTAGTATTCCAAACATTTATTCCCCAAAATGAATTTGAACAAAGCAAGAACCATGGTTTTTACAGAATAAAGTGGTACCATCCTTTGTTTATTTCGTTGCCTTCTTGTCAGCTCCGTACAGGCCAAAGGCATTATTAAATGTATCTACAAAAACAATTTTAACATACTTTCACAGAGTTCATTTTACACAAAAATCAATCAGTCAATCAATATATGCATACAGTATATATATATATATATATATATATATATATATATATATATATATATATATATATATGATATTAAACACTATCCCGAACAATAATAATCATACACAATGGAAACTTTTGAGCATTACGCATTCAGATGAAAGAGAGATGAAAAATATCCATTTACCAGGCTGGGCAAAGAAAGATTAATAACCGCTTGTTTCTGAACGCAGAAGTCAGATTTCAGGCGTTTGTTAGATTTTTCTTCTGCAAACTTGAGGAGAATTGAGCTCTTTTGCTCAATGATAATTTTGGACGATCTTCTGACGCCCACCTCATGATCGGTGTGAAGGAGATGCCTGGCGATGCCACTGTTGAAAGCGTTTGTTCCCTTTAGACATAAGCTTTTTGGTACATGTACAGAAAATCGCAGATATGCTCTTCTTTCTGTTCTCCCACTGTTGTAAGTGCTACCGCAGATACATGTAAATTTGTATATACAGTTAGAGTTAACATGAGAAGGAGTTTCTTGAAAAGATGTTGAAGAGCAATGGGTACCCTCAAAGGTTCATCAAGGAGTTACTTTGGAAGGACAGAAAGAAGAAGGGCATATCTACGATTTTCTGAACATGTACCAAAAAGCCTACGTCTTCAGCTGGGAACAAATGCCTTAAACAGTGCGATCACCAGGTATCTCCTTGACACAAGTCATGAGGAGGACATCGGAAAGTCGTTCAAAACTATCAATAGGCAAAAGAGCTCAATTCTCCTCAAGGCTTCTGAAGCCATTTCCATCAAGCGCCTGAAACTCGATTTATGCGTTCACCAGAAAGAAGCAGTTATCAGTCTTTCTTTGCCCAGCCTGGTAACTGGATATTTTCATCTCTCTTTCATCTGAATGCAAAATGCTGAAAAGCTTCCAATGTGTATGATTATTATTGTTCGGAATAGTGTTTAATATTACATAAATATATGTATCTATTGTTAGTGTATGCATATACTGATCGATTGGTTTTTGTTTTAAATGAACTCTATGTAAGTAAGTATGTTAACTTGTTTCTGTAGATATATTTAATAATAAATGTCTTTGGCCTGTAAGCAGCTGACAAGAAGGCAACGAAATAAACAAAGGATGGTACCACTTTATTCTGCAAAAAACTTTAGTTCTTGTTTTGAAAAATAATTGTCAGTAGTATAGTTTGTGTGATATTTTCTGCAAAGATTTTGAATAGAGTAGAAAAGGATTAAATTGTGAAGATGGAAGGTGACGATCAACATGAAACAATAGAGGGAGAGAGAGAGAGAGTAGTAAGCATAAAGGCGAAAGAGGCAGAATATGAATAATCTTTAAGACGGGGATTTGTTTTGCCATCATGGAACATCATTTCGTCGCATAACCAAATCTGTCAAGCGAAACCATTTTCTTCTTTTTCTGCTGTTGGGTACAGTGAGATAAATTTTTCACTTCGGGTTGTAGAGGTTCTTTTGATAAATTTTAAGTAACCTACCAGATTCGATTGTGTATAAACACACCTTTCCTACGTATAATATGACATAAGAATAACTGACTGCTGCCTCCTGGTATATCCTTGGGTTCCAAGTGGAGGACAGTGTTCTAGGTTTACATCTAAATTTCATTTTATTCTCTGTTGTCTGTTTAATTTACCCAAAAAATTTCCCCATTTCTCCCGCATACGAAATCTTACATGTTACTATAGGATTGATGACAAACTCATATATGTTCAAACCAAGTTCACTTTAAACAGTTTTATATAAAAATTTAGGCATTGGGTATATGATATTCCTTATAATAAAGGTTCTATTGTATCCTCTAATGAATGAAAAACAAAGGGACATTGTTTTGCTGAGGTTTCGTTATTTAGTGCTTATAGATTAATAAAAGTATTATTAAAACAGAATTTACAAAATCCACTCAGCATACTTATCACAAAGAGTTAAGAGATGAGAAATCAGACATAAGTCAGGTTAAAAGAAGTACATATTGAAAGTCAAAATAACTATGAAGATCAATCACTAAACCAAATAACAAAGTTAATAGCACATCTGATATAATATCAAAACATAATTTACTAACTTGATCATCGTTCGTCAGTCTGAGGTCATTTTTACGTTGTAAAGTTGGTCAAATGGTAAAGATAACAAAACCAAATAGGTGTAGATTGTTGAATTTTATCAATGTGTAAAATTATAAAAGCAGTGTTTGTTCACACAGTGAACTTGCATATCACATTCGTGTTGATTTTGTCACTTTATGGATTGGGGAGGTGGCTGTTGTAACCAGGTCAAATTCTGTTTTAGTCCATCATTCCTATTCATCAGACAATTTGGATTCTACTTGATATGAAGTGCTTCTGATGATATTAGACGCTCTCTGTAATTTCTGAAATGCTTTTACTGGATAATGATTTCAATATTGTCAAAATAAGTTTTGTGGCCTGATTCTACAGCTGATGATTTTTCAAATTTTTCTAGTTCAACCGGATTTCTTAGTGGTCGAAGAGGTGCTCACTCTACGGTGTTCATTTCTTCTGATTACCTTGATTTCTCTCTGGTGAGGTTTGTCCGATGTATATCGCATCGGATCACATTCCAAGCATTTCATTTTATAGACACAATTCGATAAAGAATCTATGGGGATTTGGTCTTTTCACATTGACAAGGTTGCTTTGCAGTCTGTGTCTGATGTTCTGAAGAAAACTCTAATGTCGAGCTGATTGAGTACTCTTCTGATATCGTCTGACGTCTCTGTTCTATATGGAATGACGACTGTTGAAGTCCATGTTTTCGGAATGCGTTTTTGGCCATACTTAATGTCAATGTTGATTTTGTCGGTGAAGTTCCTTGGGTAGTTGTTTTGCTTGAGGAGAGTTTCAGTAATGTTTGATATTTCTTCTTCTTTTTCTTTCGCATCAGTTTTTGTCAAAGAGTGAGCTTGTCTAAGAAGACTTGAAACAACTGAAATCTTAGCGCTGATGGGGTGTGATGATTTGAAGTCTAAATATTTATTGGAGTGGGTTTTCTTTCTGAATATGGATACACTAAAATGTCCGTTTTCCCTTCTCTTAACTAGCCAGGCAGTCTAGAAATGGTAGTTCACCGAAGTCTGATTTTTTCACCTCTTAACTTTTTGTTATATATATGCTGAGATTTTGTAAATTCCGATTTAATAATGCTTTGGTAAATCTATTAGCATTAAATAGGAAAACGCCAGTAAAAACAGCGATATCGTTTTGTTTTTGATTCATTCATAGGGAAATACAAAAACCTTTATTCTAATGATGACAAACCCGCTGATTCCTAATTGAAATCCACTATAAAGGTTCCTTCATGCGACTAAATTCATTTGTCTTCTCATTGTGTGATCAATCTATCTCTATTTCCTACTGGAGATTGGTTAACACGTAAACTCTGTTCCCCTTTGCTTATCTTTTCTAGCTGACCGTCTGATCTTCAGAGTAGAGCAAAGACCTCTGTTATGACGATGAATTACAAAGTGTTTTCAGAATTATATCTTAAGCGGATTCACTGTCTAAATGTCAGATTGTTAATTTCACTTTCAGACATAAATGTGACTTGAATGGACTAATGTGTTTCCATGACTCTTGCAGCATAGAAGTCACTACATTAGAAACTAAGTCGAATGCTAGATATCTCAAGGGATTAAGACCTTTTTCCAGTCTCGCCTGGTCACATCTCACATCCTGATGATTTTTAAATAAATATTTCAATCAATATTCTACTTAAGAGAGTTAAGACAATTTGGTATGATTTTATATTTGATTTGTGAGAATTACTTTTGTTTTTATGAGTTGATCACGGAGTGATATCAGTTAAAGAAACATTGAAAATCGGGTTCGAACCCCTATGGTGTGTGCGTACTGTCGATGGGTCCCGAAAACTATGATTAAACAGCTCTCTAGTACTCCCTTTGGCTGATTTCCAATGGTTCTGTAACTGATATCAATTCGTAGAAATTTGGTATAACGCAGCTTTTGCTTGTGTACTACTTTTAACCCTTTCATCTTGCTTATTCTACCTAACTACTTCTCTGCGTTCTTTCCTGGGCTGCCTAGGAATGACTTAGATACACAACGGAGGATAATAAAATTTGTTCCTATGATGAGTGGCACACCCATAAACGATATCGTATATGTCGTTGTTGGAATATATTTTAACCAATGAAAAGTCATTCTGTAGGACTTTCAGCACCTTTTTTGCTGTTTACAACTTCTTCGTCATGGCTCCTTGAACTGAAGATGGAGAAGTCATAAAATACTTGGCACTAGCACGATAGAGTATTATAAATCAGCGATATGCTGCATGACTTATATTTCATGTCGATAAAAACGGCGTTAGGCTCAAAATAACTAACTGACTTCCTAGGATTAATGTATCCTTGTCACACTAATACTATCAGCCTTATAAACATCGTAAACTTTACGTAAATATTTTCCCCTAACTACCTAATGTGAGGTATGTTTGAGGTTAAAATATCGAATGCTTGTCAAGAACACACTTTATTCCAGGGTTTGATTCCCTTGCGACGCACACCTTAACCTCTGTTGGCTAGTAAAAAGCCGACAAAAGAGAAACAAGAAGTTTGCGCAGGAGGATGACAATTCCATTCTGTTAAATAAACACATACTACTGAGGTCGGTGAACTACCATTTCTAGACTGCCTGGCTAGTTAAGAGAAGGGAAAACGGACATTTTAGTGTATCCATATTCAGAAAGAAAACCCACTCCAATAAATATTTAGACTTCAAATCATCACACCCCATCAGCGCTAAGATTTCAGTTGTTTCAAGTCTTCTTAGACAAGCTCACTCTTTGACAAAAACTGATGCGAAAGAAAAAGAAGAAGAAATATCAAACATTACTGAAACTCTCCTCAAGCAAAACAACTACCCAAGGAACTTCACCGACAAAATCAACATTGACATTAAGTATGGCCAAAAACGCATTCCGAAAACATGGACTTCAACAGTCGTCATTCCATATAGAACAGAGACGTCAGACGATATCAGAAGAGTACTCAATCAGCTCGACATTAGAGTTTTCTTCAGAACATCAGACACAGACTGCAAAGCAACCTTGTCAATGTGAAAAGACCAAATCCCCATAGATTCTTTATCGAATTGTGTCTATAAAATGAAATGCTTGGAATGTGATCCGATGCGATATACATCGGACAAACCTCACCAGAGAGAAATCAAGGTAATCAGAAGAAATGAACACCGTAGAGTGAGCACCTCTTCGACCACTAAGAAATCCGGTTGAACTAGAAAAATTTGAAAAATCATCAGCTGTAGAATCAGGCCACAAAACTTATTTTGACAATATTGAAATCATTATCCAGTAAAAGCATTTCAGAAATTACAGAGAGCGTCTAATATCATCAGAAGCACTTCATATCAAGTAGAATCCAAATTGTCTGATGAATAGGAATGATGGACTAAAACAGAATTTGACCTGGTTACAACAGCCACCTCCCCAATCCATAAAGTGACAAAATCAACACGAATGTGATATGCAAGTTCACTGTGTGAACAAACACTGCTTTTATAATTTTACACATTGATAAAATTCAACAATCTACACCTATTTGGTTTTGTTATCTTTACCATTTGACCAACTTTACAACGTAAAAATGACCTCAGACTGACGAACGATGATCAAGTTAGTAAATTATGTTTTGATATTATATCAGATGTGCTATTAACTTTGTTATTTGGTTTAGTGATTGATCTTCATAGTTATTTTGACTTTCAATATGTACTTCTTTTAACCTGACTTATGTCTGATTTCTCATCTCTTAACTCTTTGTGATAAGTATGCTGAGTGGATTTTGTAAACTCTGGTTTAACAATACTTTTTTGATAAAGCTATTGGCAGCAGCATTAAATAGCGAAACCTCAGTAAAAACGGCGATAATATTTTATTTTTCATTCATTGGAAAATACAAATCCGTCATTATAATGCATACTCTTGACAATTCAATCCTTGGAGTTTTATATTTCACGTGGGGTAACTCAAAGTCATGTAAAACTGTAATATGAAAAGATCGTTAGAAAGAACAATGTTTATTATACTGAGACTGCCACACTTTATCGGAGATACTGTCTAGAACACAGCCCTCAAGCGTTACTTTGCAAGGATTTGATTGTTTTCTTCAGGTTTGAACATTGGTTGACATCAGTTAGAGAACGGCATGAAACCAGGGATTATTGGACAGCTGTTTTATCCTTGTTTGGTAGCTATCGGCAGTAAGAGCCCACTACCAGGTTTCGAACCCAGGAGCTTCAGGTTAAGAGGTAAGCTCGTAGAGTGATATCTAAGCAGCTGAATGGTCTATGAGCTTGACTTGTCATCGGAAGTTTCTGCGTCTAGAACCTGATGGGTGAGTACTGCCAACGAGTCCCAAATTAGTCTGACGAAAAGCGTGTCAAATACACCCTGGTATCCAGTGGTTCTCTAACGGATATTAACCCTTGAACGAACTTAAAATATAGTCATTATTATGATGACTAATCTAAAGAAACCTGGTTATCAGAGCCATTCAAATCTAAGCATGTCATTAATCAACAAGGCTGAATGGTCAACGAGCGTAGGCTCATAACTTGAAGGTCCAAGGTTCGATGGCTGGTCGTGGGTATGCACCATGAAGAGTCCCAAAACAGGAAGAAAATTCTGTCAGGTACACCCTAGTTAATTAATAGCTCAGTAGTTTAGGCTGTTAGAGCGTCGTATTTATAACGCGAATGTCCAGGGCATGACGCCCTCCGGAGCCAGTGACTGCTGAGCCGCCATACATTGGTGGCCAGATAGCCGGTTTTGTAAACTTACAAATATCTCAGAATTATGTTTCTACTTAATAACGTCTAGTGTCTGCTAATTGTGATACAAAGGAAACGTCTAATAAACATGCTCTTTTGCTGATGACTGGCATTATTATAAAGTTCCGACAGGCGGTCATCTTTACTGAGGCCCTAGTCAGTCAGATACTTTGAGCATCTTACTTCGTTATAACTTATTAAATTAATGTTATGTTTTATTACTTTAAGCTCTCAGTGGAATATAACGAGGACTTCAAGCTAGAGGTTTGAGGTCTGGGTAGCAGTGGTGTTTATTTTTACGGGATGGGTTTCGCTAGCCACATACCCAATCTTCCCTCCTAGTTAGTCTTATTACTGGCTTAGCGAGGGAAGGGAGTGTGTCGGTGGCTGGGCATCGAACTCCGAACTACGTGTGGCGTGGTTGGTGACTGCCACTGTTCCACCGACGCTCCAAATACTACTTTGTTACAAATTCATCTCAGTTAGAGAGTCACTAAAAACCAGGAAGAAGTGAATAGTTGTTTTTATTCTAGTCAGGAACTCTTCTACACTGTGCAAACTTGATCACACTGGGGATAAAAACCAAAACACCGAGGTGAACAGATCAACCAGCCGAGCATTCAACCACTGGGTTGGAACTCAATGACACCTGAATTGTAGGAATTGTCTAGTCTTCTGTAACTCCCTAACTGATGTCAGTCAGCTGGTGATGAAATGCAAAATGTGAATATCAGTCCCCAGTCTGGTGGTTATCCACTAAGTGTTCTGAAGTCCTAATGAGAAGTTATTGGCTTTGAGATCCACCACCTCATGTTTGAAGTGATAGTTGTCAGTGTGTCGCTACATAACTAACTGAGAGAAAATTTAGCGTTCACTGGACTATCCGCGTATCCAGAAAGTCACAGGTATACGCTGCTTAGAAAGTCCCAACCTGGGACAAAAAACAGTTGTCTAGTACTTGATTGCTTTCAATGGTTCCGTTAATTGATTTCGCCTCTTGATGTTGAAGGTAGTTAGTAGGATTAGTGGTGTAAAACTCAGTCAGTTAGTCACTATATTAGTAGAAAGGCATCTGAATGCATGCGAAAAATGGTCTAAAACCATACTTTCCGACCTCCAGCACCCGCTCTATTCCCAACTCTCTCCTTGTATCTCATCAGGTAGAACCAGCAATCAGTAGAAAATAATATATGCTCGTACAACTAAGTACAGGAACTCAACGATACCATATTTGGCCAGCCCGTGTTCTAAGTGACAGAGACAATGTTAAGCGCGAAACCTATGACTTGCTTTGTTGTTAATAACATAATTTTAGGCTCTTTTATTTTTCTCCCTTATATTCTCTTATTTGTACTCTACAGTGAACATCTCCTTAAACATACTTAGCTACCCCTAAATTATTAACATTGGCTTACTTTTTTGTACTTTATTCTATTCCTTCTTTTGTGTATCTACTGGTTCCGATTATATTATCAATATGAGTATTACAAAATTGTCCTGTCTTTAACCACCATGTAATATTTTTTTTGGATTACAGCTTGATTCCACACTGTACTTTTGTACAAGTATGGAATTTTCAGCATGGATATCGGTAGCCCAAATTTTGCAGGCCGACCATAGATATCAGGTGTGCGTCGGCAAGAGATCGAACCTCGGACCATGTGCATGGTTGGCGAGAGTCCTAACTACTGTGCCACCGATGCAATATTAACTGACAATCTTGGTTGTGAACGCCATTATCACCATCTTAAAAGTTTGTATTATGCAGGATTACTCACACTACCACTACAAACACCGCATTAGATAGAGCTGACAATAAAAAAGCAACCTGAAATGCTATTTTATGATTGTTTAGTGTTGTTCAATCAAATTAACTGATCATCTCGGCGATAAACATTCTTAAATATCATTTCATAACTTCTAGTATGACTATAGTTCTACTGTCACCACACATAAACATATCATAGCTTCCACTACCCAATACTGAGATATTATTTATTATTGCTGTTTATTTTCCTTTCTACTTGGCAATTTTTTTTGCATTTTTTTGTTGCTGTTGTCTTTTCATATATTTATTTTTTGAAATACTCTTTTTAAATGTGCGATGAAATTAAATGCAATATTGTAGATATGTGCTGAAAATTCCACACTGTATCACTAGTACTGTTTCTGGAATAAAAGCAAAATTATTATTATTATTATTATTATTGAAGGGATCTGAGTCGAAATTAATGCAATACTACTCACCTGACATAATTCTTTAGAAAACGTGAATTGAGTTTGTTCGATACCGTGGAAATTTTCTATCGCATCGGTTAATTTAAATTTAGCTTGACCAAGCTGTTTATTATTTAAGCATGACCATAGGCGTTTATCTATTAGACTAATCAATAATTCATCGCATACACCAGTTATCATAGTGAATTTAGTTATTGATTTATTTGAATCATTTACTTTGCCCCATGAATGATGATGATCTGATGAATTCAACTTTAGTGTACACATTCTATGCGATGTTGAATAGGCCGGGTTGATTTCTTCCGGTTGACTTGATGTAGTATTAATGCGTAGTGTGAATTTTTCTAATTCTGGTATCGGTGTGATTGTTATTTGTTGGATCTTGGAGAAAGAAGACAGAAAAATAAAGATATATATATATTAGGAATATTTCATAATTAGGGAAGTATTATTACCGTTCGTAATATAACATCAAACTTTTATAGCAAAACAGAAATTTTATAAGAAGAACGGTGTCCTACAGACACTTTTCTGAAGCTTCTAAGCAATACCGAATTGTGAAATAATAGAAAAGATTTGTAACTCAGGTGGATGATTTGGAATTGATAGTGTTCTCTGAGCTCCTTGGTTTAATTGCGGAGCCTAGAAGCCTGGTACTCAAATGAAAACGCAATTAATAAACACGTTAATATAGATGAAATATACCAACTAATAAGAAGTAAATCAGGTGATCAGAAAGTTTAAAATCCCAATCAATAGAAAACGGTCAATAAATATCTAAAGATGGTTACCGGGAGACTCATGAAGAAATTTAAATCATTTCACTTTATCCTAAATACTGCGCTGAAGATGTCATCCAGAAAGACGATGAAAGCTCCGCAATTAAACCAAGGAGCTCAGAGAACACTATCAATTCCAAATGCCGAATTGTTATGGATAGAGTGGGCGGGGGTTACAGAAAACGTCTGGATAAGCAGAAGACCTTTTGGATGGCCGACTAATGATGCCAGGGAAATATGAGGTTGTTAGTTGCGTGAACAATAGCAGTCTAGCTGCTATTCTGAGAAAGTCCAACGGTTTTGCGTAATCTGATACAAATATCCCTTGAGCTGTTAAACAGAAGTACCTCCCCGTCACTTAAGCAGATGGACAAATTAAACACAAATACACACAGGGCTCAGATGAGTACAGCTAAATTGTTTTGTTTAATTGGTTCCACAGGATTGACCCTGCAACCAATAAAGCTTGTTTCTAATTGACTTTGTGGGTTTGCATGCCAACCACTTTGTTGCTGTCTGCATTGTCAAGAATTCTGCGTAAGGTTTCCAAAGTTCCATCTTTGTATGGAAGCACTACTGGTGATTTGAGTTCCCTATTGTTGTTGTCATCATTATTCTGTGCATGTTTGACATGCATGTTATCAATAATATTATTATTATTATCACTATCACTACTATTATTTAGTTTATTTTTAGATTTTCCTACATACTTCCTGATTAATATATCAGAGTAACTGTTAAGTGTGCCTCACAACCTGGTTTAGACTTACCTTGGTATTACTTAGTTTTTGTGCTCTATCACTTAAACACTTCACCAATCCTATTTTCACTGACATGCGATGGGATGATCGGAAGTCAAAATATCTGTTTGAATGTGTGGGTTTCCTATAAACACTAGTACTGAACTTCCCATCTTCTTTCCTTCTTACGTTGCAATCTAACATTGGAAGCTTCCCTTCCTGATTTTCCGATTTGTAAATGAATTGAATTGTCTTCACCTATGAGTTAATTTGCTCGAAAAATCTATTTGTATCCTGAGTTCTGAGTACAGTTAATGTGTCATCTACATATCTCCACCATACTTTTGAAGTGGGGCTGATATTATCTTCCGTTTTTGGTTAGGTTTATTCGAGAAGCTAATAACAGTAATTTCGTTTTCCATTCCTTGAGTTTTGAGTGGAACATAAAGCTTCAAGCTTCGAGATTTCTTTAGCAGTGATGTTGTCCATACGGTGTAAGATTGATAATCTCACCCCCCAATCTATACTGGCAGCTAGTAAGTTATGGGGTGCATCGATGGTTCGACGGTAGAGTGCTGGCCAGCTGTGCACATGGTCCGAGGTTCGAGTCCCGGACTGTGCACACGTTTACCTTCCTTGGCCTGTTGTAATCCAGAAAAAGAAGGAAGATTGGGCGTTGGGCTAGCAAATCTACCCTGTAAAAACATCACCGCTACTAAAACTTCAGAACCATAGCTTAAAGCCCTACTTTCGACTCGTAACGCAAGGGAATAAAATAAATAATAATGAAAATAAGTAAGGTAGGGGAGGGTTAAGGCGTGAGTCGATAGGAATCACACCTGAACAAAGTGAGCAACTGCAGAACACTCTACCAGTGAGTAACTGACTCCACCTGTCTTTCAATCAGGAATCGAGACTAGACTTTCCATGTGACAGGTGGAGATTTTCACCACTATGTTATCAATAAACCCATGGTACCTCTAAATTAAGAGGCGGTTCAGAAACAGTAACTACCCACAACAAGCCTATTATCGTTCAGTCATTGAGGGCCAGATTTAGTTGCTTGTTTTACTGTCTCATTTCTACACAACCGGTGGTGATTCCTTGACTCGACTGAAAGATGAAGTACCTAGACTAGTCTAGACTAGACACTTCCAGTTGTATCTACCAACTGAACTACGCTTAGGGTGAAGCCAGTGATATTGTCTATTGCTTTAGGAACTTGACTTTCCTTACTAACTCGAGACCATCTCCCAGTATGGCTAAGTAAAGGTGCAGTAAAAACCATCAACAATTTGATATTAGACCACCTGGTTCAGCACTGAAGTGTCCTTCTCTATCATCTACTGGGCACCAAATAAATTCCCAAAAACATCCAGGTACCGCATGCTCCAAACATCAGTGGCTATTGCTGGTTTGTGTGCAAAAGAAAGAAGTTCAGCCTCAACTACTACTGCCATGGCAGGTCTTTAATGGAGACTATAAATTCATGAATTTCTACTATTATCTTTCCGAATTTGCCTGTCTGATATTCAGTGTATTGTTATGTTGATGCTATTGAACTGTAATCCATTAATATTATTATTATTGTTAATTTTTGACAAACAAATTACGTAATTTAGAAGGCGTTAATCAGTTAGAAACTAAAATAAAGTTACAAAAGTAGGTTGGGTGACGTAATCTAATTGACAGGGTTCAATGAAAAAAATGAATGAGAGTCAAGTTAATAATCTGAGTAGAATTCACCTGAAAATTAATGAAAGTTAAGTTAATAAGCTGAGTAGAATTCACTTAAAAATAAACGAAAATCGAGTTAGCAACAGTCGTCATGAGCGTAGAGATTTAATAGAGGGTGGGGGTAGAAAATAATGCAATTAAGAAATAGACAAACAAAGAAGAAAGAGGTAAGACAAAATTACGTATTTGGTGTTAAGATAGATCAGGACCATTGTAGATTTAGTGACTGAACAAACTTCTTTTGTATGCAGAGTTCAGGATTCAATATGTGAATTGCCATTGCTTCTGCAGTTTGAAGAAGTTTAATTCGTACTCTTTTGGCAAGATTCCCACGTATTGTGTAGATAACTGAGAAGTTGTTTTGTGGGTTTGCTTGGTGTCCGGATTCGATCAAGTGTTCTAGGATAGAGAGCTGTGGCGGGGGGATCTTCTTTCTCCTTTATAAAACCATGAAGGTAAGTGTTCGCTGATTCGTTTGGATAGCAAACGCTGGGTACGGCCGACATACCTAGCTCCACATGAGCAGGTGAATTGGTAGATGCACATTGATGAGGCCCCCAGTGGAAGCTTATCCTTCACGTTCGTGCGAATCATTGGTTTCGTAGAGAAAGTTAGTCTGAGTTCCGCTGCGAAGAAGGTTTTCTTCAGTGAACGGCACAGGCGGTTTCTCAGTATTTCTGCTGAAGAATCTCCGTTGAATTGTAGATTCAAATAGAGAAGTTTCTTGGGAGCAGTAAGCGTGGATGGTTTTTGTGTTTTGGGCTTCATAGCTTTTGTGATGAAACGTTCCGGGTAACCGTTTTCAAGAAGGATTCTTTTCAGGGTCTTCAGCTCTTCTTCTATAGTTTCCGGACTGCAAATGTTGTGGATTCTGTGAGTCAGTGAGCGGATCAGATTTCGTTTTGTATATATAGGCACCCAACTGTGAAAGCTGATGAGTTGTCCATTCCATGTCGGTTTTCTGTGAATGGATCTTTTGAGTGTCCCATCTTGTTCGCGTCTTGCTAGTTGCACGTCCAGAAAAGATATTGTTGCGTTGGACTCCTTCTCTAGTGTGAACTGGATTGCTGGATGGCAACTGTTGAAGAAGTCCAATATGTTCTCCAAATTTTCCTCATTATTGGCGATAATAAAAGTATCGTCCACGTATCTCTTGTAGAATCCGAAGTTATCTATTATCTTCTTTATTATTGATTCGATGGTATTTAAACAGCCTTAATGGTGTTAATAACACTAATTCATTTACTACTATTATGTATATATAACTGCAGAACTCGATGATGAAGAGCAGGCTATTCTTTGCTCAGTAACCATCCTTTTAAAACGTTTTCAATACTTAATTTCAAGCATTTACTTTAGCTGAAAATTTTACCGATTTCTCTTGTTTTTTGTTTTGAACAGTCATCACAAACTAACACAGAATAACTATCTCCTGGCCCATTGTTTCCAGTAATTCAATAATTTATGTCCCTCTATTAAATGCCTTAAGATGTATATTAACTTAAATAAATATTTTTTGTTTATCTACATCAAATAGAAAAGATGATTCATCTTGTTGCCTTTTTCTTATGTGTTTAGTCTAGTCTGTATTTATTTTCTATAGAGGTAAGTATGCAAGTAGCTCGCATACACATATAGTTAATGTCTGTTTCAGACAATGGTTTTTTCAATGATTCTCTTTTAGCCACAGAAGACAACGGCCAGGCAACAGATCATCTACATGTTGACTGTATCGGCCCACGCAAAGCCGTTTTTTTCTCATTTTTCTCAAGACCAATATTGGGGACAAAGACATTGACGTAAATTACTGTCCACCAACTATGGCTAACAGCCAGCTCTCACCACACTCTAACTGATATCAATCCGTGATCAACTCGTAAAAACAAAACTAACCCTTACAAACCAAACTATAGAAAATTAATCTAATGCTCGCTAGTGACTTGCTACAGGATGGAGTTTCCTGGAGTTCGGGCGAGAAGTCATGACTAGTGAGGTCCATCCAGATGTCACGTGTGAGGATGGATGTCCCACCTACGACAATCGTTGGGGTAGCGCTAAATCACGAATTGATAGAAGTTAGAATTCACGGAGTGGCCATTGAGGAATCGGGTCCCATTGGCTGAATGGTATACGAGCTTGCCTGGCTTGTAATCAGAAGGTCCTGGGTTCGAAACCCAGTGGGTGCATACTGCCGGTGATCCCCAAACTAGGATGAAACAGGTTTCCAGTACTCCTGGAGTTCTGATGAGAAGTTGTAACCATTGAGTTCCATCCAGGTGGGAGTGAGGATGGATTTCTCACCGATGATATTGGTTGCTGTCAGTCGAGCAGAAAACATCACGAATTGGTAGAAGTTAGAATCCATAGGCTGGCCATTGAGGGATCGAGTCCCAGTGGCTGATTAATATACGGGCTAGCTTCCCTTGTAACCGGAAGAATGTCCTGGGTTCTGAGCCCAGTGGGTAATTTACGAAGTCCCATATAATCGCTGTAAGGTAAATCACACAGGTTAAACTAGTAGATCGGGTTGCTTATTTATCAAGCGAAACTCGGGGTTACGGTTGAAACTCTTTAACTGGAAGACGGAATAAATCATCAGTTACTGTGGATTACTCTGTATAATTGAATCATTGCTAATTCGCTTTCAATAGCAGGATGTATTAGTTCTACATTCATAAAAATTCGTGTCAGTGTGATTCGGACTGTCACTACTGACCTTTTCAGCTGGCTTTATCAATCTCTTAATTTTTCAGGTATTTACCGTTGAAAGAATATTGTTTAACGGTTTAAAACATGATAAACAGCTTACCGAAACTTTAGTACATTTTGTCGACATTCTATAAATCTCTTCAGTGTTAAGTATATCCAATCGATTTCTTGTCGAGATACCACGATTATAACAACCATATTTTATAAATTCACAATCAGGAAATTGTAATCTCCATAATTCATAAATTCTAGGTATTTGTAAATTGAACATTGAAGATTGAAATTTCAGTGGGTTAACAAAAAGCGATTTTTGATCAAATCCATTATGTTTATTCAATGTCCAATGTATATTAGTTTTATTGTTTTGATTAGTAAAATATTCCAATGTCCTACCAAATAAACGACTGGTATCATAAACATAAACACGTGGATGAAATAAATGTACTCGCCAGCATAATTCAATGTCATAGGGAAGATAATTTATGTGTATTTGGTTATTACAACTATAGGAGTTTACATCACAAATTTTATCGATACTTTTTTGACTACTTGTTAGTAGTGAGAGGTGATTATTCATAATATTTCTGTTAGAATGACTGCTTTCAGTAGTAGTTATACCAGATGACGATGATGAAGAAGTAGAAGATGGAGTCTCTGAAATGGTGCTTGTTGAATAGTGTTGTTGATTTATCTGACAATAAAGTTTTCTGATGTATAAATACTTTCGATAGCGTTCACAAGCGTCTTCAAGAAAACTTTTGTTGAGGTAGTGTGGCATTAGAATCTAAAAAGTAAGAAAAAAAGAGAAAAGAAACGGTTGGTTTTCTTTCTAAACGTATTTTACAAGAAACGCAGGAGTGACGAACAGGTAATCAAGCCTTATTCTATGGATTCGTAAACTTGTGTAGCTTCCTTAATGTTAATTGTCTAGAAACTACCGCACTCAAGAGGAAATAAATATGTCAGCGCTTCATTCAATCGCTTTGAATCGTGTTTATGTGTATCTCAGATATTTAGATTGCCCTAGTACGCCTAACCAGTACATTTTTTGAAGTAATCTGTGTGTTGCGGCTTTTTATACGGGCCAGTAACACATAACACATATATTTGATAATGAGAATTTTGGCTGTTAGTGAAAAGTTGTTGTAAAGTGAACCAGTGAAATGATATTCACGTAGAGTCTTTGAGTCGTGACTGCCTAATGAGTGTGATTATTGGCGTTTAAAATGTGGCATTTCAGAAGCTCAGTTATAGGATGGACTTTATGTAGTCTTCTTAAAATATGTGTAAAACTTGGGTACTGTGGTCGCATGTAATTCCATATTAGTTTGTTAATTAGATATATCACACAGTGATGAAACAGTATTAGTATTTACTGGATGACAAGTTTCCAACAAAATTTATTACTGTTCATAATCATTTCATCAATTATAATCACATGACTTTGAAACTTGAGTTTTATAGTTTTCTTTGTTCTCTCCTATTTGTCGTCGTAGGCGTTGTAGTAGAATTTTCCAGATATCTGGATGGACAGGAGTTGAATCATTCCTAATAATCGTGTTGGTTTGCACTTGATTCGATAAACAAAGCTTCCGTTGTTATCAATCTCTCCGTCCACTCTGTGACATTAGATTTCAAAACTGTCATCTTATTCCACCCAGCCTATGTGTATGATTGTGTGTAATTGCGTGTGGTGAGTGCTATAGCTGAACTATTCTCTAGATTTCTTATCTTATTCAGGTCAACTAATCTAGATTTGGCTGCTAAGCTTTCGTGCTCCGCTAGTCTGACTGACTCATCTCGTTCTACTACTCTGAACTGTGTAACAGATCTGACAATCATTTCACTCAGGGTATCAGATACACTAAATTATTTTGTTTTTTGGCTCCACAGGATCCTTTAACCGACAAAGCGACTGAAGCGTTCACCCCATCCCAAAAGTATGGTGGAGGTATGTAGATGACACATTCAGTGTGCTTAGAACACAGAATAAAGAAAGATTTTTAGAACACATTATAACTCAAAGGTGGAGGCAATTCAATTCACTTATGAATTGGAAAGTCAGGAAGGGGAACTTCCAATGTTAGATTGCAACGTAAAAAGGAAAGAAGATAAGAAGTCAAACACACCAGTGTTTACAGGAGACCAACACATTTAAACAGATATTTGGACTTCCGATCATCTCATCCTATGTCAGTTAAATTGGGATTGGTGAAATGTTTAGGTAATAAAGCACAAAAACTAAGTAGTACCAAGGAAAATCTAAGACAGAAAGTGATACACAAAAAAGAAGCCTTGAAACTTAATAATTACCCGCATAAATTAATCAGAAATTATACGAGAAAATGTAAAAATAAGAACAAACTAAATAATAATAGTAGTGATAGTGATAACAATTATAATAACAATAATAATAGTAATAGTAATGACGACATGGATGTCAAACGTGCGTATGACAACACCAACAATAAGGAATCTAATCCATCAGTAATAATTCCATACAAGGAAGTAACCTCGGAAACCTTACGCAGAATTCTTAACAAGGCAGGAATAAAAGTGGCATTCAAACTGCCCACATACTCAACTAGAAACAAGCTTTGTCGGTTGATGGATTGATCCTGTGGAGCCAGTTCAATGAAACAATTTAGTGTATCTTGTACCCTGCCTGCAATGACTGTCAGGTCAAATACATAAGTCAAAGTAGTAGAATGGGGTGAGTCAGTCAGACTAGCGGAACACAAAAGCTTAGCAGCCAAATCTATATTAGTTTTCTCGAGTAAGATGAGAAATCTAGGGAATAGTTCAGCTATAGCACTCACCACACGCAATTACACACAATCATAAACATAGGCTGGATAGGATAAGATGAGGGTTTTAAAATCTAATGTCACAGAGTGGACGGAGAGATTGATAACAACGGAAGCTTTGTTTATCGAATCAAGTGCAAACCAACACGATTATTAGGAATGATTCAACTCCTGTCCATCCAGATATCTGGAAAATTCTACTACAACGCCTACGACGACGAATAGGAAAGAATAGAGAAAACTATATAACTCAAGTTTCGAAGTTGTATGCTTATGATTGATGATGAAATGATTATGAACAGTAATAAATATTGTTCAAAAGGCATTGTCATCCAGTAAATACTAATACTGTTTCACCACTGTGTGATACATCTAATAAACAAATCAGTACGGAATTTATGTCGCCTATTGGAAGGTATAAACTTATTTGTTTCTGGAGCAAATTAAAGGAAGTTCAATTATCCGGATGTCTTTGTGATGATACAGTGTGCATCATGGTTAAGAATGATAACTTTTGTTATTGGATGGTTGGAAACAATCGACAACAATCCTTCGACCAAGGTTGCTTGACTGCCGGCACTCACCAGTCAACAAGGTGGCGTATCTGTAATCCTTCTGAGATTCTAACCCACGCCACACAGTGCTGCGGTCAGATTAGGGCTCGCGATTGACCTTCTATTAGACTGTACTGGATACTTCTATCGGACCCCAACTCACCGCTGCATTTGGCGAAGTGAGTTCGAATCTCAGAAGGAACGTGAGTTCCTTCAAGGTTACAGATACGCCTGCCCCACGCAACCTGGGTAGAAAGCTTCCTTTCAATTTACTGAAACCATAAAATAAGAACAATTTAGAGTGCACTGTAATGGCGAAACACCTAGCATGATGGCCACATTGCTAACTTGCCCTGAAATAATTCAGTCTACACTAAATAAAGAACTAGGCTTTTGACGCTAGTTGGTGTCCAATCATAGAATCACAACTTTTGTTCTGTATTGATTACCTTTCCCTTTTTATTGATCGACCATCGGCCTACCGTCCATCTGTTGTCATTCATACGGTTAAGATTGTTTGGCTAATACATCTTATCTACAGTAATCAGCTATTGTGCTGGTCTTTCCTTCCCAAACAACCTACAAATATCTCCAATTTATGTTCCTATTAAATAACGCTTATTGTTTACTAATTGTGATGCAAAGGAAACGTCTAATAAACATGCACTTTTACTGATGACTTGCATCATTCTGAAGTTCTGACAAGCAGTCATCTTAACTGAGGCCTTAGTCAATCAGATACTTTGAGCATTTTACTTAATCATACCTTATCAAATTTATATTATGTTTTATCTCTTTACGTTCTCAGTGCGACATAACGACGGCTTCAAGCTAGAGGCTTGTAGTCTCGGTAGCATTGGTGTTTCTGTAGCAATGGTGATTATTTTTACACGATAGGGTTGCTAGCCCTTCCCTCCTTACACAGTCTTATTACTGGCTTAGCAAAGTAAAGGAATGCGTCAGTGGCCGGTGATTGAACCCCCAACCAAGTGTGGCCTGGTAGGCGAGCATTCTACTGCTGTGCCGCCGACGCAGTTATTAATGGCTTTAGAAGATGAAACAGAGTGTGTACTTTTACCCGAATGGATACAATCATTCACTGCATCTTCTTGCAAACTGTCAAATCAATGGGATATATATACATATATAACGCTTATTCTACCAGCCTCTCTTTAGCTGCCGCACCATCTGCTGAGGACTACTACAAAACATCAGAACTGTAAAATGGATCACATTTATGATCAAAAGGAAAGAAATAAAGATCTGATCGAAAATGTATTTTTATTTGTTTGTTTGTTTCTTAATCGCACTTTTTTTGAACTCTCTCTCTCTTTCCCGCTATTTGTTTATTTTACATTCTATGCGTGTTCAAACAAAATTTTGTTTAAATTTCAATAGGTTCAATAGGCGCCAAAATTAAAAAACCAAAAAAACTTTCACCTTATTGTAACTGATTGAAAAAATAATGCCAAAAAAACAAACAAACAATAAATTCTTCTTCTTTTTTCACTAGAAAGAAATATTTGTTGTTATATATTTTATGTGTTGAAAAACAAATTTAACTGTGAATTTTAGAAATATTTATTAATCAAGTAAATTTCATGAAAGGGAATATTTTCTGTTTATTGATTATATTATTATTAATAATAGTAGTATAATTTTTAGATCTTGCTTATTGTAAAGATTTTGATAAAGTTCCTTGTAGACTTCGTTACGAAGTGATGAGTTGTCACAATTAACAGTTTGAACACGGATTGATATCAGTTAGAGAACCATTGAAAACCAGCCACAGGGAGTACTGGGAAACCGGCTGTTGCGTCAGCCTACTTCAGGACTCCGATTCAGCAGTTCGCACCCACTGGGGTTTCAACCCATGAAATTCTAGTTACAAGAAAAACTAGCTCGTATACCATTCAGCCACTGGGACCCACACGATCCCTCAATGGCCAGCCTATGAATTCTAACTTCGACCAGTTCGTGATATTTTCAGAGTGACTGACAGCAACCAGTATCGTCGGCGGGATATCTATCCTCATTCCCGACTGGATGGACCTCATTGGTGACGACTTCTTAGCAGAACTCAAGGGAACTCCATCCTGTAGTAAATCACTAGTGAGTATCAAATTTCAGTAGTTCTTTAACTCATATAAATACGTGGTCAAACTCACACAACAATCGGAATTCATGTGGACAAACCAAATCTGTGTTTGTGCATTCAAAAGAAATCTGTGCAGCCCCTTTCTTTGCCATGATCAACTACATAATATGTAGTTTCTATGAAGAGTGTAATATGTCGTACAGAGGATTTAATAGAAAATGTGCCACTTTGTAGAAGGTATGTAGATGATATTGTAAGCATCAGTGGTAAGTCTTGTTCTACCACCTAAATTTCAAATCGAATGAATAAATTTCAGAATAGCGCA